CATAAGGAAGGTAGGGAAGGCCGGCAAGGAGTTCGGTCGAGCCCCAGATCCATGTCATCGTTGTCGACCTGATCCGCGTCCTCGACTGGCCGTAGTGCTCTGGGGCTGCTCCTCTCTGTGCTCTTCTCCCCTGACTGATCCACTTAACCTCGACTGGCCGTAGTGCTCTGGGGCAGCTCCCGCCGCGTCCTCGCCTACACTGCCCTCCTCACCGCCGTGATCTACTGCACCGCCACGCTCCTCGACGTGCCCGCGGCCGTGGGCCCCCAGCCGCTACCACCGTCCGCGGGCCTCCAGGCGAGGTCCATGGCCACCTTCATCCGCACGTGAGCACCCCCTTCCCTACCATTTCTGCCCAGATCCGCTACCCCTAAATTTGAGTGGTCTCTCGGTTGAATCTGTGTCACAGGAAGCCCCACGTAAACGTCGACACCATCAGGCACTTCGACCACGGCAAGACCTGCTCTGCTTCCCTCACCAGTGCCATCACCAAGGTCAGTCAGATCAGGCTTGCTCTGCTTCAAGTCGGTTTGAATTTAAATGGTTCATCGTGTGTAGGTGTGGTCTGAATTCTGAATGGGTCTTTTGGTAGGTACTGGTGGAGGCCGGGAGCGCCAAGGCAGTGGCGTTCGACGAGATCAACCTTAGTGCTTGATGCTGACATGTGGAGGAGAAAGCCACAGGAATCACCATCTCAATGGTCCGGCCTTAGTGCTTGTTGCTGACCTTTTGCTGCTATTGTTCTGCTAGACATATTACACTACCTGAGCTTGTGTACTAGAAGCAGGCACCCAAGTTTTCTTTCTTATTTAGGTACTTAGCATGTGGATTTGCTTATGAGAACCAACTGGATTTCTTAGATATATCCAAGTGAGATGTACTGTTACTATGGCAGTGAATTTTATCTATGTGAGATTAGAAATTGAGTGTCATCATTCATCTTATGCTATTTTGTCCTCCGTGGTAACTGCTGACTTGCAAGATACAATGTTGAATTACTATATGATGCATGTTTGTGATGTTACTATGTGTGAGGTGACTAGTAATATTAGATCTTGCCTATTGAAGATGCATGTTTCTTAACAAATTTTTGTCATGCTGCATAATAGTCTTGATTATTTGTCATTATTTACATGCATGCTAATTAATATGTGCAGGATGGTGGTCGGGTGTCAACAAGGAATGGAAATTGATGGAGATCCCTATGTGTGCATCGTGCATGCTGGTAGTAGATTGATCAAGACGTCAACAGCAAGAAAATACTATTCGTGTCATGCAGAAGTGCACCACAAAGAAGAGCACCAGTCCGTCTACTTCTTGCCGCTCCGACCCAAGTGTTGTCTGACACCATGGAAGGTATCTCTCTCCCTCTCCTCATGCTCTACCCTGGGTAGAATCCTATTTGCTTACTGCACCACCACATTAGCCATCAAATTTGTGACAAGGAAACTGAAACCCTCTTCCTTTCTTCCGAGAGGAGAGGTCAGGTCCTTGCTTGCTAGAGTCGATCTATTTATCTGCATTGTGAAGTAACAATGGTTCTTTTGTCCGTGTTAAGATGTCAAGAAACTATTTGTTTGTTGAAACAACCATCAGTCACTCTCAGATATTGCTGACTGCTTTCTGTTGCTAGTATAGTTCAAGCTTCTTTGTCATGTATTTCATTAGGATGTGAACAATCTACTACACACTCACACAGATATTGACTTACAATTTTTGTTTCTTTGTTGTCAATGTTTGCCAAGCTATTTAAACAACGATGACAAACTGAAATTATGAATACTCATATAGAAATATTTGGTTTTCCACGACTTGGACTATTGGGGCAGACTTATCAAGTTGTTGCTCTTTATGTTATGTTATACCACCTGCATATGCATGCTCTAGCTTCTAGGTAGTAGAAGAACTGACATGTCGGATGCAAGTCCAAGCTTGATACTGTAAATGTTACTCCCACCTATCAAGTTGGACTACTCGGGTGTCAAGTTGGTGATGTATTGTAGTCTGTAGTATGCACCTGCATATGCATGAAAGAATAGTTAATATCTTGATCCAAGTCTAAGCTTTCATACTTGAAATGTTACTCCTGCCAACAGGACAACTGGGTGAGGATGCTGCGGCTGGGCTTCCAGTGCGTGGGGATCCTCAACGCTGACCTCGGGACATCGCCGCTCTATGTCTTCTCCAACACCTTCAAGTACAACGTCGGGCTCGAGGACGACATGTCGGCCGTCCTCTTCCTCATCATCTACAGCTTCCTGCTCTTCGCCATGGTCAAGATCATCTTCATCGTGCTCTTATATTTAGGAATGGAGGTAGTACTTGCTAAATGTGTTTGGTCAGTGCTGAGTGTTGGATAGTCATGTATGTGCTCAGAATTTCACCTTCCTGCGTTCGAGCTTGTCAGTGCTACTCCATATGACTGCTTTTATTTGTCAACCATGCCTTGCACATCAAGTTAATATGTATGCATGTAACTACTAGATATTTTCATATTCTGGAAACAATCGTATATGATTAGGATTTGCACACGTCGTTATCGTCTTAGCTTTGCGTGTTATATGTTGTGAAACACAATCTTATATATGCATTACCTGACAATCATGTTTTACTTAACTGATCTAGTGCAACAGTATGTTGACACACAGCAGCATGGTCTTTCTTGCAAATGTTCTAGTGTTAATATAGGAATGGACAGTTTCATGATTGTAGGATGTTATAGCTAGGCTTATATATATATATTATATATATATGGAACTCATGTAAGGGAATTAGAACTAGAGAACTAGAGAAATATATGTTAGCCCAGAACTACTCGCTAGCACTCGAGTACACTGATACACGACCGGCGGAAGAGCCAAGTGCTACTACTGCCTGCGCTCAGCACACTAGCAAAGCACACACACTCACTAGTGCTGCTTACACACACGCACATGGAAGAGAGAAGCTCACGGACACACTAGCTGTTGTGAAGCTCAAATGGATTTGGAATGGAATGAGTTACATCGATGGAGCACAGCTCCTTATATAGTGGTCACGAACCGACCTAAGCAAAATATCTGCTAGCTATGAAGTAAGCACTTGCGTCACATACTAGCTTATCTAGTAAGCTTCGTTTCTACTACTACTACTGCCTTAACTAGTAAGGAATGCAAAAGCTGTTGTTGCCGACCTGCACCTTCTGCATGCTAGCTAAGTGACCGCTTGTGCTGCTGCCGCCGTTGTAGCCACGCATGCACCTAGCCATGCATGCATCGGAGACAGGGTTGGGCCCACAATCTCCCCCTCAACCCTGTCGGAGGGTCTTGATGTCAATGATCCCGATCTTGTTGCGCGGTTCTTGGAACTCAACGCAACCAAGTGCCTTCGTTGGGATGTCCGCCTTCTCGGCGGCCCGTATGCCCTGTTCGTGCTTCTTGATCTCGGGTGCTGCGATCGTCTCGCGGGCTCGAGAAGGTCCCCCTAGGCTTCGGAACCTGTGTTGATCGCCACCATTTTTGTTGGCATCGAACAAGTCCGACCGCGCTGTTGATGGGGACATGAACTGCCCGGGAACCACCTCGCTCGTGGGCGTCAGTGTTTCTGGGGTCGTAGTTCCTGATGTCACACTGCCCGGGAACTCCCTTCCCGGGGTCGTCGTGTCGGACGTCATGCTACCCGGGAACTCCCTTCCCGGGGATGACTTGTCAGACATCGCACTACCCAGGAATTCCCTTCCTGGGGTCGTCGTGCCGGACGCCGCACTGCCCGGGAACTCCCTTCCCGGGGTCGTTGTGCCGGACGCCACACTGACCGGAGTGGTTCTTCTCAGGGTAGCGGAGTCCTTGCTGCACTTCCCATCAGACTTGCTTGTCGGGTCTCCCCCGACAAACGTAAGTCGTGCCTCCCGCACGGACTCGATGGACCCCGAGCGCGTCAGGGTTGCTGCGTGGCTGACCATAGAGCACCGCGCCTCCTGCACAGCCTCGATGGTCGCCAGAGTCACGGTCGAGGCCTTGCCGCCCCATGACTGTCTCTTCATGGCCTCCCAGCTGTTGAGGCCCGTCGAAGAGTGCCGTGTTGCCCACACGGGCTTGCAGAACCCCGAGAACCTGGTTGTCGGGGTATGGCCGACCTGAGAGTGTCGTGCCTCTTGCACGGTCTCACTGGTCACCAGCATCATGGTTGGGACATGGCCCACCATATGCGTCGTTGCCGTGCCTCCTGACACGGGCTTATTGGGTCCCGAGGATGTCGGGTACGCCTTTGCCGTGCCAACTTGCACGGGCTTGTCGGGTCCCGAGGATGTCGGGGCCGCGATTGCCGTGCCAACTTGCACGGGCTTGACCAGCGTCACAAGGGACGTGGTTGCCGGGGTGTGGCTCCCCCACACCCGGGTCTTCATCTCCTCCCAATCGAAATCTCCCGAGAACGTTGTTGTCGGGGAGAGCGCTACCGATGTGGGGAGGGGATTATTTGAAGAGCTCCGTGCCTCCCGCACAGACTTGACGGTTGCCGGCACCGTGGTCGCCGGAGGTGCTGTGCCCTCCTGCACGGCTTCGATGCTTGTCGGGACCATGGTTGCCGGAGGCGCTGTGCCCTCCTGCATGGTCTCGACGCAAGCCATCATCATTGCTGGCCCACCGTCCTCTTCAGCCTCGACGAGGTTCGCCGCGGCCGCGGCATCCTCATCAGCCATCCTCTTGCGGCACTCACGGGCCCAGTGGCCCTTGATGCTACAATATCGGCACTTGTCCCGGTCGTCGTTGCCGGCACCTCGTCCGTCTCCGCCCTGGGTGCGACCGCCGCCTCTGCCGGTGCCGCCTCCACTGCTCTGGGCACCGCCACCACGTCCTTGACGCTTCCTCGCCTCCCACTTCTTCGAGAATAGGAGTTGTCCGCCGCCGAAGCTCTCGCGGCCGTCATCAAGGCGGTCCTCGACCACCCGCAACCGGCCCGTGAGCTCCTCGATGGAGAGCTCGCTCAGGTCAAGCAAAGTCTCGATGGAGACCGCTACCTGAGCGAAACGAGGTGGAACGACGCGAAGAAATTTCCGCACGACTCTCGCGTCGTCCATGGTGTCGCCGAGCGCGCGGAGCTGTGACGCAAGGCTGGAGATTCGCATGGCGAAGTTGTCGACGAGCTCGCCCTCCTTGAAGGCGATGTTCTCGAAGTCCGCCCGCAGCTTCTGCGCGTTCGCCTCGCGCACGCGGTTGCTGCCGAGGCGCTGGGTACGGATGGCTTCCCACGCCTCCTTGGCGCTAGCCTTCGCCGCGAGCATGCCGTGCATCTCCGGCGGCGTGGCGCGCATGAGCGCCGCCACGGCTTTCCTGTCCTCCTTTCTCTCGACCAGATCGTCCTCCATGGGAGCCCAGAGGCTTGCCGCATGAAGGTTGCACTCCATGATCAACGCCCACTCGCTGTAGTTCGAGCGCGTGAGCATCGGGAAGGTGATGGGCACGCTACCGCTGATTGCGGTCTCGCGCACGATCTCCCTAACCACGACCTCACCGCGATGGCCGCGCCTGGAGCGGCTGCGCCCTCGCCGCTTCTCCGGAGCCGGCGACTGGGAACCATCCGAGGTGGTGCGTTGCTGCACTCCTTTACCACCGGCCATGGCTACCACAACCAGAGGCTCTGATGCCAATTGTTAGCCCAGAACTACTCGCTAGCACTCGATTACACTGATACACGACCGGCGGAAGAGCCAAGTGCTACTACTGCCTGCGCTCAGCACACTAGCAAAGCACACACACTCACTAGTGCTGCTTACACACACACGCACATGGAAGAGAGAAGCTCACGGACACACTTGTAAGCAGCACTAGTGAGTGTGTGTGCTTTGCTAGTGTGCTGAGCGCAGGCAGTAGTAGCACTTGGCTCTTCCGCCGGTCGTGTATCAGTGTACTCGAGTGCTAGCGAGTAGTTCTGGGCTAACAATATATAGTCATGTATTGTGGTTTAGGTTTCGTTGGTGGTTAGATGTGTTGTAGGTGATGCTTTATGGATGGAGTTCTACTCGGCTGTAGTGATTTTGGAAGTGTGTCGTGGTTTTGCCAGTATTTATATCCAGTTTAGGGCCTTCAAAGGTCCTGGAAATGAGCGTGTATCTGTAAAATATGTGCCCCCATCTTTGTTAGATGCTTTGCTGAGTCGAATATTGCTCGCACGCATTGTAAATTAGTGTTTTTTTTGTTTTGAGTTTTTGTCTGTTAAAGGTTCTTTTCAGTGCAAGGAGGTGTTGTGCTTGGTGATTGCGTTCTAGTATTTCTTTCAGGCCTGTAGAGTTATTGTATCAGATCTTCTGATCTTAATGAAGCATACAGTCGGTTGCATCTCTTGGGTCAAAGTGTTTCTCAAATGCTTGTATTTGTATTACCTCTGTAAATAGATATAATCCTTACTTACTAAGCTATGAAGGGACTTTCGTGTATCATGGCTATCATGCATCTCTAGAATGTTTGTGTAGTGTACTTTAGATATATGTGATCCTTTTGTCTAACTATCTTCTTCTGGATGCTTGTTCTGGAACTGCAGGGCACGGAGGATCCGCTGGAAACAAGTTCTGGATGTCGATGGGTCTGCCGGTGGCAGCCACTGTCAACTGTGCTGACAAAGCTGGTGCCAAGAACCTGTACATCATCTTTGTCAAGGGAATCAAGGGGCGCCTGAACAGGCTTCCTTCTGCCTGCGTTGGTGACATGGTTATGGCCACTGTCAAGAAGGGAAAGCCTGACCTGAGGAAGAAGGTCATGCCTGCTGTCATTGTCAGGCAGGGCAAGCATGGCGCAGAAAGGACGGTGTCTTCATGTACTTTGAAGGTACTGCTAAGTTCTTGTGATCACTGATTCATTCTACACTAGTGATGTAGTAATTTAATCTGCCTAGTGAGTTTGATGTCTATTAAGCTGTTACTTGCAACTGTTCAATTTTTTGAAACAACAATGTTGTATTGAATATCAGCAAAAATTACACCTGCATGTCTTACTAGAGAATTTAAGTTCTAGTTTGAATTGCTACTATTAATGATGAATGGTTGACTTTTAAAACTTGAAGCAGCAACTACTTTCTCATGTGAAATTTCGTTAAATATATATTTTCCCAATAAGTGTATCTGTTGTCATCACCCATTTGTTGGCAAATATGTAATCTCATAAATTTCCTATTCTATATTTTTATCTTGTCGTCATCACCCATTTGTTGGGCTGTATAAGTGTATCTGTCGTCCGGTTTTTCTACCATATTTCTTGATGTACTTCTACATATATATGTTGGTTGTAATCTGCTTGAACGATCCAGTACTTGATATTCCATTCTGTTCGTGTAAGTGAATGGAGCTTGTGTTGTTGGTAGAACTCCGTTGATGACTTCTTCCTATGTGTGAAGAGCATGTTCCGTGGTATCCAAGAGTAGCTAGCTTTACACTGGCAGAGTGTTTTATTTGTAGATCGCAATATCTGTGATTGTGTGGAATATTGTATGGTTATCTACGTGAAGTTTGAAGTTCATGCGCATGCAATATTTGACGGTTAAACTGGTTGTTGTGATGTGAATGAGTGTATGGGGTTTCACATGTTCTATTCTGTACAGAATATATTGTAATAAACCTATTTTGGTTGTTATTTGAAGATTTTCATATGCTTCTCTCTTCTTTCTGTTTGATATATATTGCTTATTAATAAGCTGTGAAAAAGCGATTTGGAACCACTGCCAAGAAAAATCTGACAATTGGAACCCATTACTGGAGCTGACAAAAAAACAAGAAATTAAAAATAAATGGACCGCAATGCCCTAGATAATAAAAAGGCCAAATGATTGGGCCAGACCCATGTAGCTAGAGAAAATAAACAGAAAAATATACAGTAAAAAGGCTGAATTAATGGGCTCGGCCCATGTAGCTAGAGAAAATAAACAGAAAAATATACAGTAAAAAGGCTGAATTAATGGGCTCGGCCCATGCTAAACACTCAATCGGACCGGGCTGAATCTTTTCAACGACCTTTTCAATTGGCCGTAATTTTGCCACGTCAGATTGCCAGGTCGGATCCGACGTGGCCTGGGTAGACAGCCAGTGACCAAAACAAAAGGTCATGGGTTCAACGACCTTTTGTTTTGGTCGTAAACATCTACGATCTTATCCCGAAGAAGGTCGTTAATTTCAGTTTACGACCGCCAGCTTTTGACCTTCTGTTTTTGGTCACAAAAAGGTTGCAAATGAAAAACAATGACCTTTCAGTGATCAATAGTGATGGTCGCGAGTTGACATATTTCTTGTAGTGATGGCGAGGTGATCCCATGAAGGTTGCTGGGGAGGCGGCGACGTGGTGTAGCCGGAGAGCTGCATCGGATACGCCTGGGCATGGGACCCGGGCCGAGGGCCGAGCACTCCGGCGGAGTTTGGAGGAACCTAGCCAGGGCGCGGGTTCGGCAGAGCCATCTCGTAGGGTGCGAAGAACCCCATGTAGGGGTTGTAGGACATGGGCGGGGGGGAGGGTGTGCCGCGGCCGCCCTGATCATCGCACCCACGTCCGCGGCTGCCACGGTCACCACCATCGTGGCGGTTGCTAGATCCGCGACCTGCCTGGGAGCCGTTGCAGCGATCAGTGCCCCGGTCAGTGGAGCGATCGACGCGACCGCATGCACGAGCGCCAAAGGAGCCGCCATGACCAGAGGAGCTGTCGGAGGGGCCGCCGCTCCCGGTGACGGCGAGGATGGTAGCTAGCTCGCCGGCCATGCGCTGAGCAAGGTTAGGCGAGAGAACATTGTTTAGAACGGTGGCAGAGGAAGTTTGTCCCCGAGCACGACATGGATGATGTCGAGGCGTTTGTCGATGCCAGGAAGAAACTGGGTGATCAGATCCACCTTGGTGACGGCATGGTCGATGTCGGTGAGCCCGACGTTGAGCGGCTTCATGCGGCGGGTGTACTCGACAACGGAAAGGTCCCCCTGCTTGAGGTTGCGGTACTGCCTATTGAGCATCATGTACCGGGCCGCCCAGTTCACGAGGAAGTAATCCCGGATGAGGTTCCAAAGGTCATAGGTGGTGGTGGCGCCGACGACATGATCGACAAGGTTATCAGTGAGGGTGGCGTGGATCTAGAGCACGAGATGGGCATCAAGCTCGTGATGTTGAGCAGTGGCGTTGGTCAATGAATTGGGTGGCGCCGTGGTGGATCAGAACCAGCAGGAAGAACGACTTCCACTTGTGATAGTTGTGCTCATCGGGGTTAAGGAAAAACTTGATGTGGTTTTGGATGCTGTTGTTGAAGATAGGGTTGCGGGCAGGGGGAGGCGGCG